ATCTTCTCACTGTCCTCCACTGCTTTATCAGCAGAGACATTGATGGCCTCCACCTCCTGTTGAAGCAGCTTCACATCTTTCTCTTGGTCCTGGATTCTCTGATGGATTTGTTGTCGACTCTCCTGGAGCTTCTTCTGCTTCTCAGCTCTTTCTGCTGCAGCTGGGACTGTTTTATGGCCTTTATGTTCCTCCATTAAGCAGAGATAACAGATGCACTGCTGATCAGTACGACAGAAGATCTTCATCACCTCATCATGACGGGAGCAGATGCTCTCCTGGAGATTCTTGGAGGGATTCACCAGCTTGTGTTTCTTCAGTCCATGGATGTCGTAGTGAGGTTGGAGGTGATTCTCACAATATGAGGCAAGACAAACTAGACAAGTCTTGACAGCTTTCATCTTCCTCTCAGTGCAGACATCACAGGCCACATCTTCAGATCCAGCAAAATAATGTTGAACTGGTGCAGCTTGTAGTCCAGTCTTCTTCAGATCCTCCACCAACTCTGCTAACATGAAGTTTTTTACCAGTCCAGGCCTCGGTTTGAACTCTGTCCTGCACTGAGGGCAGCTGTAGTTTCTCCTCTGATCTTCTGCACCCCAGTAGTCTTTAATACAGTTCATACAGTAACTGTGTCCACAGGGGATAGTCACTGGATCCTTCAGTAGGTCCAAACAGATGGAACAAGAATATTTACCTGAATCCATCTTATTTTTTCTCTCAGCCATTTCACTTCTCGATAAGACTGAATATCTAAAGTTCCTCTTCCTCCCGTAGATGTCTCCCGTAAGAAGCAAAACCCCAGTTTGTTAGTTCCTGATCTTCAACAGTTTGTCTGGTCAGCTCAGTGATTCTACCGATAGTGAAGCTTTCAGATAAATGAAACGGGAAGAACCAGAAATGCAGCAGCAGAGCAGAACTCTGTCGACCAGAAGGGAGGAGCTTCACTGCAGGTGATGTTAGAAGAGGCAGAGGATCTCCAGACTTCAGATTCTCTCTTCACTTCCAGCTTTTACGTGTTTTTATTCAGACTGACTTTGACCATTCAGACAATTGACCATTTTCAGTAGGATATTTTATTTCATGTACCACATAGCCCCCATAACCTACATTCACTTTCAACAGTGTTGAAGCAATTAATCTGAGTAAATATACCAACCATGCACTGGTAAAATATTTGAGCATAAAAACTTTAATTGAAACATCTCAATAGTAACTATATATAATAACATATGCATGTTTGTTGACAGCAACATTGGGATCTGTGAAACTGACCACTCTGAACATCATGAGAACTTGACTGTATCCTTCAACACCCATTTATGTTTCAGCATCGGGTTGTATAGAGAGGATGTGTCGCAGCAAGTAAGGTCCCAGTAGGGCTTACCGCTTCAGAGTTATTAATCACCAAAGATTATTTTTTTAATTATTTTTTTTTACTTTTAACCCCATTCACCTGGAGGTCAAAGGTCAGAAAGGCTGTTTCTTCTCTTTATGAGCCCCTGCACCTTATTTGTGAATTTCAATCCTCTATGACAAACTCAATTTGATTTACGCTGATACATGGTTTTGGGATGTAAGAAGAGTCACAAAAGAGGATTTGTTGGCTTTGACTTACAGCCACCAAAAGTAACCTGCAGGTTCTGGGCCGCCCCGGCTTCATGTCCTGTAGTTTTGGTTTCTCTAGCCCCTCTGGGGGGGCAGAAGGAGAAGCATCTTAAAGTTTTAGACCATAACCCCATAAGTGAACTGAGGTCAAAGTATAACTTCTGTTTTGACCCCGTGCATCGTGGAATTGCATCTTTTCCAGCTGTTCTTGGTACTGACAGAAATAATAATCTACAAGGAACAAACCTGAACCACCCATGTGTTTCTAGTCCTCTCCTTTGTCCTGAAACAAGCTTAAAATGCTGAAGGTCAATTCAGCCAGGACTGTGGAGCCGTTTATGTCAGTCATTCAGAAAACAATGATACAGCAACAAAGTGTAATGTGTTTGTGAACAATATATTAAAAAGTAGTAAAAACTAATCCCAGTTTTACAAATGAGGTACTTACTTCATGTCCAATAGCCTTTACCTTAGTTTTTTTTTTTTGCCTTACACTGCCATCTAGTGTTCATTTCCAGGTACAAGACAAATCTCATGAACAAATCTTCTAATATGTTTATTCAGTTTTTTACAGTCATAAAGAAAGATCAGTAAAGATCAGCTTTGCTTTTATTTCATGAATTTGAACGTTTCAATCTAAAAAGTGTTTTTTAATGTGATCAGTACTAAACTGTAGCAAATTCTGAAATATTACAGACCAGACCACTTCTTACATGCTGGATTAAATGTTAAAATATTAAAGATAATTATTTAATGTTCCTGAGGCAAATCAGACCTGAGGACAAACAATACAGGTTTTTCTCATCTGCACCAATTCAGTGTCATAGATGGACTAGATTTCATGCATTTGATGAGGAAATATTTATTTCAATCATTACAGAATTTAATTTTAATTGGCACTTGGAAAAAAGGATTTGTAAATAACTCTGTTTCAACCTAAACTATTGTATGTGCTGCAGTTTGAGAATCATCATCTCAGCAAGCTTCCTAAAAAACCAGAGAAAATCAACTGGTTCCAGTAACTCATTCTAGTAAAACCAGTTTATAAACCCATTCAGAAAACTTTAGCAGAAAAGATTTTGTTTCCCTTGGATTTACTTTAATATTTATTAACAGTTTAACACAAAAACCACAAATGTATTATCAGACATAGAAAAGAAAAACAGATTGTAAAAGCTAAATTAGCTTTTATGGTTTCCAAACACTGAACGTAAATAAGGAAAAAAAAATTTACAATAGATATTTAAACATGATTCGCTCAAAAAATAAGCAGCAGTAGAATAATACAGTGAACATGAATTACAGAGATTAAATAATTGTGAAACAATTGATTTGTTCTAAACTAAAGTCATATTAATCTTGTTACAAATTTCCCAGAGTCATTACTGTCCAGGATTAAACACAACTGATGACCTGGATTTGTATTCATTAAGTTTGATTTTTAAAATGCTACATATTTTCTCAACCTTTGAATTTCTGGCTTCTTGTCAGACAGAACTGAAATCCAGGAGATTACAGTTTTTCTCATGATTGTGTCTTAAGAAGTAAAACATTTTTAGCTTAATTAACAGAATAAAATCTTCCTGACAAGAGATCCTGACACATTTGAGAGATCAAGTTAACTAATCTTTGTCCAATAAAACAATGCCTGATGTCCTGATTGATAAACATCATTGATGGAAACTGTAGATAACTGCTGTTTCCTTCAGCTCATCCCCATTTCACCAACATTTGGTCTGAGAAAGCAATAAATGTAAATGTAATTAGTTTCTGTGAATCCAAATCCTCCTGGGAGTCTCCAAGACTGAACAGAAACAGGAAGAGGAAGCACACAAACAAACTCCAATATCAGCAATAAACAAGATGTCAACGTAACTCTCAGTGATGGAGACTAAAGCTGTAACTAAAATACAGATTTTAACCAACTAGACCTCAGATCAGTGCTGACTGTTCTGGTTTTATGAACTCAGCAGAGTCTCCATAACTATGAAGCCAAACCCCAACATGTAGAGGCTGAGTGAATCTGGTCTGGACTCTGTGGAGGAGAGTCATGGTTTTAGAGACGCTGTAGAAAGACAGAATACCTGCTCTGTGGTCCAGGTACACTCCTATTCTGGAGGAAACTGGACCTGATAATGGAGTTTCAATATTGTTGTGATAAAATGTGTAGCTGTTTGTGTCACAGCGTAATGTCCAAGATTTGTCATTAAGTCCAAATAAATATTTCTCTGACTTTCCTGCTCTGCTGATGTTTTTGTATGAAACTGCTAAACGAAGTTCTTCTCCTCTCATCTCCACCTCCCAGTAACAACGTCCAGTCAGACTCTCTCTGCTCAGGACCTGAGAATAAAGACTGAATCTGTCTGGATGATCAGGATAAGACTGTTGTTGACTCATTAATGTTACATTTCTGTTCCCATTAGATAACAACAGACTTTTGTGGACTGTGTTTGGATCCAAAGTGATTTCCTGTGAATATTTTAAGAATCCAGCTCTGGTCTTGGGTTCTGGTTCTGATAGTAGAACATCCACTTCAGTTATTGCCAGTTCAATGTTTGTTCCAGTGTCTCGCAGGACGTCCTGTAGTTTGTCTCTGAGCTCTGACACAGCTGCTGTCACGTCCTCAAAGTGTCTCAGAGGACACTTTGTATCACTTTATATCACATAAAAACTTAAATGTTTTACTCTTGTTAGCTTTTGGAAAGGAATGTTACTAATTTAGTTTGTAATTAAGAATATTGTTTACAAATACATCCTCCTTAAAAATCACCTCATTTTCTTTCTGAAAAAGAAATTAGAGGCGTGTATTTCTTTTTACAGTACTTGTTTTAACAACTTAGAAGAACTGATACATTCACCTGAGTTTGTCAAGGGATGGTGTGGAAAGATATTTGCTCAGTTTGTGTAAACATTGTTGTACAGGATGTGTTTAACCTGCCAGACACGTTTTGTTCCCATTAGTCGTTTTAAATGACCCAGAGATCTGCATTTGACACACATTAAAGTTTTATTAGTATCCAATGCTCAACACATTTTATTTCAAAGTAGAAACTTAACAATTTCTCATTATATTACAGGATACAGAAAACATTTGGACATTTGGATACAATTCTTTATCTGTACTTTATCACTTTACTATAATCTTTAGAATAGCTCCCTAATGTGAGCAGAGTAAAACTGTAAACAAGACAATATGGCACACCACTATCGTCTCCAAAAGAAATCATAGTTACAAGGCGGTGGGAACACTGATATTTAAGTGCAATTGAGATCCCATACTCCCTCAATTTTTTAACTTTTCTATAATGTATTAAAGACAGAAAGTTTACTTGTATAGTGAATATGCTACCTCCTGCTAAAGTCAGATCCAAAACATAAAACTAAAGCAAACCAAATAACCAAATACATGCACAGAACTTAACCTTAGGACGACTCAAACTTTCAGACCTAATATTATGCCACTTCAGTCTAGCAGATTCTTTTCTCATGTATAAGCTTATTTTTCTTGTAAGGAAAAGGTTTTATCAGTTGCTCTTTGCTGGATGTTTGTCCTGTTAAACTCTGTTCTCTTTCTTTTCCAGCTTCGCTCTGTGCTGGAATTGTCTGACTAGTAAGGGAATGTAATCCAAGTTTGTATTGTTGGGAAAAAAACAGAAAAGATATAGCTCTTTTTGTCTGAGACTGGAAAGAATTTTTTTTAATCAACTTACAATTACAGGTTATAGCAGATAGCTGCAATAAGACACAACATTACTTCAAGAAAATCCTGGTTGTTATAATGGGGGATTTTAACGGATGTGATGTTTCTAATCTTCTTCCAAACCTTCCATAATACGTGACATGTCCAACACAAAGCTGAAATCATGGACAAATGATTTGGAGCTCATGTGTCCAGATTTGGTGATCAAATACATGAGATCTCAATGTATTTCGTCTTCTTATCAAACATGTCTTTTGAATCTGAAAAGGGAGAAACCTCTTGTTAAGGACACTCAGTGGTAAACAACTGATGAACTAAGGTCTAGTTTTGAATCTACTGTCTAGGAAATGTTTTTCATATGTTTGATTTTACAATCAAATATATGGAGAACATTTGATTGTCAAAATTAGTTGGAGTAAA